TTGAAAATAATTAATTATTTTATTTTATATCCATTAATTTATTAGAAAGATGTGTATAATATGAGTTATTTTATATGAAGTATTAGTTTAGGTCATAAAAAAATGGCATCAAACAACTAGGCCCTGTTCTTTTGGACTTATTTTAAGTTCAATTCAGTTCAGTTCAACTTAGTTTAGCTTAGTTCATTTTTCTACTTCGTTTCAATTTAGTTTAGCTTTAAAGACAAAGCATTAGTCATCTTTTGCCTTTTTCCATCTTATTATATAAAAAAAAATATTTTTAAATATGAAAACAAATATTTAAATATGAAAACAAATGTTTCAATTTAGTTTAGCTCGAAAGAACAAGGCATTAGTCATCTTTTGCCTTTTTCCATCTTATTATTAAAAGAAAAAATTAAATATGAAAGCAAATATTTTAAAATCGGTTTAAATAGCCCGGTTCATGTTTGGATCGACACTATAGGTACGGGGTCCATCCCAACATAAACTATCCAATCTCTTGATCTCCATTTATTTTTAAATTTTTGGTTTTCACTTAGGTTCTGAAGAAGATGATACTATTACTTGTCTGAAGGCATTTGGTTAATGTAAAAGTTAAAACTGAAATATTACGTATAAGTGATATTATTAGCTGCCTGAAGATGATATTATTAGAATAATATGTACATCTTTGACTCTTTGTTTTAATGTAAAAGTTAAATTTAAATATTGATTGTAACAAAGCAATACACAAGATAGATCTAATCAAATGTACATAAATCACATTTAAAATTGTTCATGGCATAAGATCTATCTCATCGTTATATTGGTAGACACATCGTGCCTAGTTACTCTTAATAAATTTAACAATAATTAATACACATTTAAAGTCCATATAATAAGATGAAAAAACAAGGAACAAGTGCATAAATGTGAGATATAATGAAGTGTAAGACTAAAATGTCATAATGGAAACCAACTTGGAGAGAGAAAACGAAGAAATAATTGACCAAATAATCACCCTATAATAAATAATCCCTTAATAATAGTGATAATACAAACAAATTCACACACTCATCTTTTTAACTGCTTCCCTTCGTCCATATTTTGGGCACTAGCACAGCATACTTGCGTACTCTACTCACTTTCACTGTCCTCTACACCACTCTTTGATTCTCTCTCCTCACATTGGGTCCCACATTACCACCTCGATCTCCCCACTCCCCCTTCACCACTCACCACCACCTGTCGCCGGTCCACCCTAAAAATAAAAAATATGGAATAACTATACTCCCTCTTTTCAGTACTTTCTTCAATTTTTTTTTAAGACATCATTTTACTTTTGCACTATTTGTATATCATGGTTGACTTAATTTTTTTACCTCTATAAAATAAATAAATATTATTTTATACTAATATATTATTAGATTAGTCATAATATCTAATTTCATGATACTATAATTTTTCTAAAGTTTTTACTAATAGACAATTAAAGATATTAATGGTCAAAGTTGCGTCTCAACAAATGTATCGGTCAAAATGATACATTAAGAAAAACAGTGGGAGAATATTTGAAGTTAAAGTTGGGATTGCACAGAGTTTTAAGAGGTTTAATAAAATAAGATGTTAGTGAGGTAGATAATATAATAAAAAAAAAATTATAATAAAAGATAGAGAATTATTATTTTATGGAAAAGTAGAGTGGTGTGAAAAGGGGTAAAGACTATTAAAAAAGTGAGAATGATTATAATTAAGAGTGAGTAGGGATCATAAGTGGGTATATATATTTACTCTATATTAAATTTTAAAGATTTTATTAAAAAAGGAAGCATAGCTTTTAAAAAAGGGTAATAATATATGTAGCCCTTGGGTTTATGTATACGCATTAAATAAACTTTTTAAAATAGAATTAAGTTGGGAATTCATGATAAAAACACACGCAGATCGGTGTTATTAATGTTAAGTTATCCTCAATATCTTCTTTTTAAGCTTCTTATACATAGCTTTTATCATTTTCCTTTAAAAAATAGCAAGTGCAGCTTTAAAAAAAAAGGAAAGTATTTCACAGTAATGGCATCATTAGGTATTTTAAAAAATTTAAAGAAATTATACGGTGGAAAATTGGAGACTAGATGGGGAATTTTATTATATTTTCATCGTTTAATAAAATTTGCAACATTTTACTCAAAAACCTCTCGTATTTTTTATTAAAGTGTTATGAACACAATTTTATGTTCAAATAGAGGAAATATAAAGTATTGTTAGCAAAGTTATCAAAATCAGGATTTTACTTTGAACTAGAAGGGGCTCTCAAAATTGAATCATAAAATCGAATTGTATAATTTTAAGATTTTATGGACATGCATAATCAAAACGCCATATCCTGATTTAATTAAATATATTTAAATTATGTGTTTGAAACCAAATTATTGATAAAAATTAGTTGTTTGCACATCATAACCAATAATTAAAAATTTAAATATTTATAAATAATTTTATAGACATGTTTTATACATGTAAGGATTTCGCTAATTAAGAAAAATATGCAAAATCGGATGTTATAAAACGGTTTGAAGTAAATAACACCGAAAAACCCTACTCAATTTTTTTTTTGCTTTCCTCCCGTTAAAAAAATATAATATTGTCACCGTAAAGCCGTTATACAGTTATACAAGTTGTAACGCACTATTTTTTTTCAAGTTCTAAAAAATTGTCATAAAAATATTTCCAAAATGGGTTAAAAAAGTTCCCAAGCTGTTTTCTAGAGATTTCCCAGTTCATAGACCGATAGACGTTGTAGAGTTTGTACTCCCGTAACTCATAAGTCATATTCTCTATTCTCTATTCTCTAATAGCCTTAAGCCCTTAAACTTTTTTTACTCCAAAATAGTCTATAGTGATTACTGATTAGGGAGCATAGTCTACAGTTCATAGTGGGTCTATGAGCTTGTCCTATTGGAATTTCGTTATATATATAGGAATGTAGACAAAGGGTAAGGGTGTAATTACACGTAAATGCATATTATGAATTTAGACTAGTACCATTGGATGATTAATACTATCATTGGATGATCAAAGAGTATCATTGAGCATTCAGTGGTATAGTGTATGCATGTAATGGTACTATATATCCATTCAGTGGTACTTACTACGTGTAGAAATAGTATCAATAAATACACAATGGTATTAGATAAGTTTTCAGTAGTACATTTAAAAATGGTCCCACTTACTTATCTCTCTCCTCCTTTCTCTTTCTTTCATGTACTTTTTAATATTTTTATATGCATAACAAAACTACATTATTACTTCCTCGTGGGTCTATGGGGAAGTAGTAATTGAGGAATGTTATGCAGGTAGAAATGCATAATAAGGGGCATTCATGTAATTACATTTATGTAGGAGAGTGGTATCATTGGATGATCAAATAATACCACTGAACATACGATGATATTATATATGCATATAGTGGTATTATATGTGCATTCAGTTGTACTAAATTTATGCATAAATAGTACTCATGTCAATGGTACTATATAAGCTTACAAAGTTATAGTGAAACAATCAGCACGTGGTCCCCTATCACGTGAGACAATCTGACTGGAAAATAAGTAAGGTCCACCTACAGACTTTTCTCTTTCTATCTCTCTCACATTTTCTTTTTATCATGTGTTTTTGGAATATTTTAATCATTGTTATGTAATCCCTCTGTCCTCTAATTCAAAGCCTCATTTCCTTTCGGGGTAAACCAAAAATACAATGTCTCTTTCTATTTAAAGATGATATTTTTCTTCATTATTACCCTCTTTTTGATGAGTTGTCATTTTTTTATTTACTTTTTGTACTTTTAACATCAATTTTCAACACTTTCTCTCTTTATCTCGTCAATTATTCCCAACTATTTTTTCTTTCTCTCTATCTCTCTCTAACCCCATATGCACATATGTTCTTTTAATCATTAGTTTTAAAGAACTTACAACTTTCTTAATTCCCACTAAAAAACCAAAAGAGCTTTGTATTAGGGGACGGATGGAGTATTTACAAATACATAACATTCCTTCCTTAAAAATGCCTCACGGGTCTATAGATTTTAGAGATTAGTAATACTTCCTTCGTTTCTATTTAGTTGACACGTTCAATTTAGGCACTCATATTAAGGAGATGAAAGAAAATGAGAGAAGATAATAAAACAAGTGGGGTACACTAAAAAAATAAGGTATAAAAATTACTAAAAAAGAAAACGTGTTAACTAAAAAAAAACTTTCTAGTGGACCATGTGCTTCTAAAAAAAGTAAAAATATAATTGGCCAATTAACCAAATTGTTAAATAAAAAAGACCTCAAGCAACAATTTGGTAAATATTATAACTCTGTCGACAATTTGGTAAAAAAAAAAAAAAAACCTAACCTAATACGACAATTTGGCAAAAAAATAAAAAATAAAATAAAAAGATTCATTTCAGGCGACAATTAACCCAAAATATACAAAAAAATTCCGACAAACTACTCGCAAATGCTTAATTTAGTTTGTTTTTCGAGGTTTTCTTACTTAAATCTCCAACCCCATCTTCGGGGTTAACAATTTGAAGAAAAAATATTATTTAAATATTAATGTTCACGTACTTTTCTTATCTCTTATTATCAAAAATTTTTAAAAACGGGGTTGGAAATAAATTTGATATTGGGTATAGCAAAATAAAAGGAGATGACATATTAATTTAAATTTTAAAATGGAAAAAATAATTTTAAAAAATACAATAGCGAATTGAATTAGGAAATTTGAAAATTTTGTTAGGAAAAAAATGAGATATTTTGGTTTACATATTGCCCGAGATTAAATTTTTTATCGAATTATCGCTTAGAATTAACTTTTTTAACTATATTGTCGCCGGAGTTATTTATTTACCAAATTATCACTAGAAGTTTTTTTTATTTACCAATCTGGTCAATTAGCCTAATACAATTTTCACTAGCAGTGTACAGTAAAAGAATCTTATTTTAATCCACTTCGCCCACTTGTGTAGTCACTCTCACAGTCTCCCCTCCATTTAACTCAACTCCCTCTCTATTTCCCCACTTCCCCTCACTCTCTGAAAAAAACAGAGCATCACCAATGGACCGCTTCACCATTTTCTCTCTCCTCCTCCTTCTCCCCCTTTCATTCTTCTCTCTTTCAGGTACATTCTTCTTCTCCCAATTAAACCCCCAATTTAGATCTAATTTATTCACTCATTAACTTGCTCATTATTTGTTTGTTTGTGCAACAGAAGGTGGAACCATTGGAGTAAACTACGGCAGAATAGCAAACGACTTACCCTCCGCTTCTAAAGTCGTCAACCTCCTCAAATCCAACGGCATTGATCGTATCAAAGTCTACGACTCCGACCCTGCCGTCCTCCGCGCACTCGCCAACTCTAACATTAAGGTCACCATCGACCTCCCCAATGAGCAGCTCCGCTCTGCCGCTACTCGTACCTCGTACGCCAGCGTGTGGGTTCTTCGCAACGTAGTTGCATACTACCCGCGTACCCTCATTGAGGGTATTGCCGTCGGTAATGAGGTCTTCGTCGACCCACAAAACACCACCACTTACCTCGTACCCGCCATGAAAAACATCCATTTAGCGCTTGTCAAATACGGGTTAGACTCCAAAATCAAGGTTTCTTCTCCTATTGCGTTGAGCGCATTGGGAAATTCTTACCCTTCTTCATCCGGGTCGTTCCGGCCCGAGTTGGTTGACCCGGTTTTTAAACCGATGTTGGAGTTTCTTCGGAAAACTGGGTCTGCTTTAATGGTGAATGCTTACCCCATTTTTGCTTATCAAGGTAACAGTGACGTCATCTCGTTGGATTACGCGCTTTTTAGGGAGAACCCAGGTGTGGTGGATGCCGGAAACGGGTTTCGATACTTGAACCTTTTCGACGCTCAGATTGACGCTGTTTTCGCCGCAATGTCGGCGCTTAAATACGACGATATCCCCATCGTTGTGACGGAAACTGGTTGGCCGTCGAAAGGTGATCCGATGGAAATCGGCGCTTCCGTCGAAAACGCCGCCGCTTATAACGGTAACTTAGTTCGCCGGATTCTCACCGGCGGTGGGACTCCGTTGAGACCCAAGGCGGAGCTGACGGTGTTCTTGTTTGCTTTGTTTAACGAGAATAAGAAACCCGGGCCGACATCGGAGAGAAACTACGGTCTATTTTACCCGACCCAGAAGAAGGTTTACGACATTCCGTTGACGGTTGAGGAGGTGAAGAGCTGGAAAGACGTGAAAGGGAGTTCGCCGGCGCCGGAGGTGGTGACGCCGGCGGTGAGTCCGGCGACGGGAAATGGTGGGGGGGCAGGGAAGGTGACGGTGAAGGAGACGTGGTGTGTAGCGAATGGAGAGATGAGTGAATCGAAGTTGCAGGCGGCTTTAGATTACGCTTGTGGTGAAGGGCAAGCGGATTGTCATCCGATTCAACCTGGTTCTCCGTGTTTTGATCCTAATACTCTTGAGGCTCATGCTTCGTATGCGTTTAATAGTTTTTATCAGAAGAATGGTCGGAAATTTGGTTCTTGTGACTTTGAAGGGGCTGCCTTTGTTGTGTCTAAGCCACCAAGTACGTTTCTCTTAACCAATTCTATCTTTGTTTTATGTTTTTTATGGTTTTGTTTAAGATTTGAGACTGAATCCTGTTTACGTAGAGTTATCGAGTCTTTTGTCTGAGTTGCTCAAGTTGTCCTAGATAGACGGAGAAAGCGAATATAGCTAGCATAGTTATTTGTAAGATTAGAGATTGAATCCCGGCTACGTTATCTCGTTGGTATATTTCATAGAGATGGACCAATTAACAGTAGATATTGAACTAATTTAAGTGCAATGACTAATGAGCCTAAAATCAAGCTTAAAGTGAGAAAAGGGACACTAATGTTGACTGTTGTCTCATCTAATATTAAAGATGAATGTCTTTTTTATAGGGTAAAGTTGATGATATGCATTGTTTTCATATGACTTATGGGTAAGATATGAGATTGAATCCCGTATAACAACATTCGAGTCTCTCAGGTCATCCTAGGTATGTCTAACACATACTTATGACTTGTGGGTAAGATCTGAAGTTCTACTGATAGACCAATTAATAATGGATATTGAACTAACTTAAAGGGTAAAATCAAGCTTAGAGTGGGAAAACGGACGCTAATGTTGACTGTTTAGTGTTGTCTCATCTGATGATAAAGATGAATGTCTTTTTTAAAGGGTAAAGTTGATGTTATTCCATTTTTTTTGTAATCAATGAATAGTCTGGCAGACTGGCTAAATCAAGTTGGCATTTGTTTAATTTGATGAGAAAACATTTACTTCGTAATTCAATTGTTCTGTGATGATACAATGATTGAGTGCTTAATACTCCGTACTTAGGACGATTGTTATTTATTGGGGATCGGAAGATACTCTGTATTTGATGAATTAGTGTGTAATTTACTCCATCTAAACCTAGATGATTTTAGTGTGTAATTTTTTTTAGTTTTCTCTGCTTTCAAGTTAGAAAAAACTAATGTCTTAAAAGATAATGATAGCTTAGAAGCACATTCAGTTGTTCAATTCATACATTTTACAACTATAAATTGTCTCTTGATTGTGCTAGTCATTAAAAACACAAATCATATTCGGAACAAATAGAATTAGACAAGAGAACAATGCATCACAAAATTCAATCAACACTAGACTAAACTTGATTTAAAGTTGTTTTTTTTTAAAAAAAAAATAAAAATAAAAATAATGATTTAAAGTTGTCCTGATTCGACCCGACCCTATCCTGAACCAAATAACTCATCACCACTGAATATGACCCAAATTAGATCAACTCAATGGGGACGACCCCAACACATGAATAGTCCATACTCGTGAAAAATTTGTTACAATAACACAAACTTGCTAAGGCCTAAGAGTAGTGGTCCTATAGAGTTGTCATGTTTTGACGTCCATTATTATTGCTGACACTCTTTTGAACTAAACTAAGGGTAAAAACTAAAAACTTTAAAAAAATGAAGGGTGATGATGTTAGTATAATGGTGACCTCGTGCTCTGTCAATCTGCATTTGAGACCGTAGATTTTGCTATCTTTTACTCTTTTTTTTTTTTTTTTTTTTTCCTTGGTTGTATTGTGAATGCAAATGCGTGCAAATGTGCGGCATTGGACCCAGTTAGCCATGTGGTAGATGTTGTATAAAAAAAGGTTTCATAGCTGCTGGAATTTTGTCAGTGAGAATCGACAATTTAGTCAAATTTCCTGCACAGTTGTTAACACTAACGATCAAATTTTAGTGCCACATTATTACTTTTTTGATAAAAGTGTTCATTTTTTATGTTTATTTCTTTTTGTTTTTATTTTGGTAACATGTGATTAACATATTGTAATGTTTGTTCTTGCATATTCTCGACCAATGTTGGAAGCATTGAAATTTGAGTCGTCTTTATTCAAAGTGTCTTGCAACGTTAGATACTTTTGGAACTTTGGATCTCATACTTGTTTTGTCTTAATTAACTTGATTATTTTATAATCACTAAAGAAAATCTTCTCCCTCTTCCATCATTAGAATTAGGTAAAAATCATGAGAGTTTGTATAAAAATAGCTTGTGGTGAATAGTGTACATAACGATGATGTGTTTCGTAATTGTGGCTAGAGTTACAGAGTACGTATCATCGTCCTCTTCATTTTACTCTTGAGTTATTTTATTAAGTCGGTAACACTAACCCGAATGCTTTAGCCCGGAATCTTAAACCAACCTAAAAAAAACTGTACTCAAAGTTATTAGAATCCTACACGGCCCTACTAATCTCTAGGAAATGAAGGGAGTACCAAAATTTAATTATTGTGTAACAGACTACCATAGTACACTCACTCCTTCCTTTAATGAATGAAACTTTATCTAATTTCATTCTAGTCTACTGATAAAACCAACTTGTACAAATGTGCAGGATATGGAAAATGCGACTTTCCAACGGGATACTAATTTCAAAGGGTGACGTTATGAAGCGTGTGAAAGAATAGTAATTGAGTTATAATTATGTAAGCTACAGTACAATTATTATTATTATTATTATTATTATTATTATTATTATTATTATTATAGTCGTTTAGTTAAATTTGGGGGGTGTTGTTTTTGTATTTACTTGAATAGTTGGGAGGGGGGCAGTTAATTAATATTAATTGGGGAACTGCCAGTAGTAGTAGAAAGCGGGTTAAAGTAGTTTTGTATCATTGGTATGTAATTAACTACGAACCAACTCTAACTTGCTTCTTTTACGGATTATTCTATAAATTGATGCATCTATTTATTACGGAGTACTATTCAATTCGTTGTTGGCTTTTAAAGAGCCGTTTGATTATATGCTTCTTCTCTAATTTTGTTATTACTCCCTCCGTCCTTTAATTAAGAACCCGTATAAGGCACCCATTGCGGTTTCTCAAAAAGAAAAAAAAAAGAACCCGTATTTTTGGGGGTCTAACATTAAGAGTATATTTCTATTTAAAGGTTGTATTTTTTGATAATGTTCCCCTTTTTTTTGATGAGTTGTCATTATTATTATTATTATTACTTTTTTTATATAAATGATGACTTTTTAATTTACATCAATCCTCAATACTTTCTCCATCTCTTCAATAATACCTAAACACTTTTAAGGGCCGTTTGGTTGGGTTAATAATCAAAGGGAAATGGAATGAACATGCCTCATTCCCTTTATTGCTGTTTGTTCGTCACTTTTAATCATTTCCTTTACTCATTTTTATTTTTGAGTTCATCTTAAAATTATTCTATATTGATTACCCATCCCCCAAGCCTTTTCCATAGCCACCATTACACCACCATATCCACACCAGCCACCACCCTTCTACCTTACCCCAACTGCATAGCCACCACCCAGCCACATCGTTGCCCCTCCCTCGCCACTTGCCTACCCTAGATAAGCTCGCACCTCCCTCGAAAACCTTCCCCCACCCCTCGTCGGAAGTGGCTGCCCCTAGTCGCACCCCCAACCCTCGTCGGAGGTTGTCGCACATTACCCACTGCACCCCTCGCCGAAGGTCGTTGCACATCCCCCACCCTTATTACCCAAATAAAATTACTGGTCACCGCCGAAGCTCATCGCATCTTCAAATTAATAGCAATAGAAACAACAATGGCAAGCTGATTAGGTCCATTGATAAAACCCTAGAAATTTGGGGGAATTGGAGGAGAAAGAATTGGGGTGAGGTTGAAGCTTGGAAACCCTAACAATGGCGGTTGAGGAGAGAGAAAGAGGAGAAATGGCGGTTGCTAGTGCGGGGAAGGTTTTCCGGGGAGGGGTGGGGGAGGTGTGACGAGCTCCGACGAGGTGGTGGCTTGCCGGCGGGGTGGCTGGAGTAGTGGGAAAGTGAAGAAAAAGGGGGTTGTGTGGTGGTGTTGGTGATTCCTTTTTTTTATTTTTTTTTAAACAAACAACATACTACATGGAATGATTTTTCATTCTATTATCTTTCAATCCCTTTGTTCATTCCATTCCGTTTTCCCCGAGCGAACCAAACGACCCTTTATTTTCTCTATATCTCTCTTGAACCTCACATGCACATATGTACTTCCAATCAACTTTCTTAATTTCTGTAAAAAAAATCCAAATAGGCTCTTAATTAAGGGACGGAGGGAGTACAACTTTACAGTAATTCCAGATTCATATGAAAATTGTTGAGTAAACTCCTTTAGCTTTCTAAACAATGATGGTAGTTATTGCAATAAATAAAATCTCAGTTGTTCATTTATATATGGCTGCTTGTTGAAATGACTTGATACCAAAAAAAAAAAAAAAAACCCATTCAGTTTCCTTTCTTCTAGGATGATATATGCCCTGTTCTTTTGAGCTTCTGAGCAGAGCAGAGCAGCTTTCAACAGAGCAGGTGTCAGTAGATTGTTAATACTAAGTAGAGCAGAGGAGACAACATCATCTTAAAAGAACAGTGCATACTTTGTAGTTTGCTATTTTGCTCACCCTCTTCTCCTTTGCAATTCCTTCTTATTTTATTGAAATTCAAGTTTTGATCCCTTGTCCTTCATTAGGTTGAACTTAGGGTTCTTTTTCTCAACAACAACAACAAACTGAGAAGGAAGCTGATATATAGTACTCCCTCTGTCCTTTTATTAAGAGCCTATTTGGGTTTATTCATGGAAATTAAGAAAGTTATAGACACCTTAAAACTAATGATTGAGAGTACAAATATGCATGCAGGGTTAGAGGGAGATGGAGAGAGAAAAAGTGGTTGAGAATTACTGATGAAAGGGAGAGTAAAAGTATTGAGAATTGATGTCAAAAGTACAAAAAAGAAAATAAAACAAGGATGACAAATCATCAAAAAGAGAATAATGTTGTCAAAAAGTACAATCTATAGGACGGAGAGAGTAGCTTTTAAGGAGTAATTCTTATTTTAATGTACTACATATTTTTTAAATAATTTACCAACTCATCTCAACAAAAGGTTTTAAATAAATAAAAAAAAACCTTATTAATCAAATACGATTATAAAAGAAAGACTGAGATTTTAACTATTGCAATGGCTTTGTAGCCATTCATCAAATAGCCTTCATTCGTTGAATTGGCACCTAAAAGTAGAGGTGTCAAAACCCAACCTTAAATCGATCCTGAAAAAAAAAAATAAAAAAAATAAATAAAAACCAAATTCAAATTTTGACTTGTATTGACATAACAATTTAATATAACTCAAATTTAAAATAGATCAAATCGAGACACCCTAATCGACACCTCTACCTAAAAGCACTCACCCCTCCCCCACCCCACCCCCACCATAAATGATACTGCCTCTGTGTTCAAATAAATGAAACGTTTTCCCTATGCACGTATGCCAATGTAAAACTTTGGCCGATGATATCTTTAATTATCAATAAGTAAAAATTATAATTATTGAATATTAATATATTATTCATTGAGACGATTCGAACAAGTACCCACAAGACTATATTCATTCTTATGTATGAATCACAAACATTAATCAAAGTAAATTAGATGAATAATGAAAAAATCAAAACGTGTCATTTATTTAAACATGGAAGGAGTAGGTTCATTAGACGGGCAATTTATCAAAGTAAATTGAGGTCCTCCAATGGAAATTGTCTAATTTAGGGGTGTTAATTAACAAAAAGTAAATAAACCTATCTAGTTCACAACCTAAAGACAACAAAGCTTGGCTAGAGAAGCTTGTAAACATACTCATTTTTTGTTTTTTATGACTATTTAATTGGTTGGTCGCTTGTTATTAAAGACTAAAGACTCGTTTGATCTTATGCTTGGTCTTTTGTTTCATAATTTCAATTTATCATATTCTTTTAACAACATTCACTTTTCCAAATATTTTTTTTTGCCTATGCCAAATCAATGAATCATCCCCTATAACTAATCTATAAACTCCCAATATAAACAAAAATAAAGTAATATTACTCATTATAAGAGAAGAAATTATTGCCCAAATGGAAAGCCAATTCTCTATCACAAGCAAGAATATCAATCTTGAATTTTTGATGTAATCCAACTTATTATCTAAAGTTAATTATCTGGATTTTTCACCATATACTCCTGAGTTATTTTTTATTCACCAAATACCCATACAATTTTTCAAATTCACTATATACTTACGAGTTTTACAAAAATTTCACCAAATGCCCTTAATGACTAACGACGGTTAACTCCGTTAGTCATTAATATTAATTATGCCACATGGCTGCATTTAATTGGTTGTTTATCAAATTAGTGAATTAAGGATTTTTTTAAGAAAATAAAAAACAAACTTTAAAAAATGAAAAAAAAAGAAAAACCGCCCAACCACCCCTTTCTACTGCCACGCTGCAAGCATCACCTGCGACCGTTCTGCGCCCTCCGGTCGCCAGCACTAGGCAACCACCCCCGATTCCAAACCACCTGAGCCAAAAACCTTCGTCGGCAGCCCATATTCGCTCCCCCGTGTTGCTGCTGCCCACTTTAGCCGGAACCACCACCCTGAAACCCTAAAATCCCAAAATCAAAACCCTAAATTTTGATTTTAGGGTTATTTTATTTTGCGGTTTTGGTGTGGTGGTTAACGGGGTGGAGATGGCAAGGGGATGGGAGATTTGGGTTCGCTGGCTGGGGAGGGGGGTTTAAACGCAGGTGGTGGGGAGGGTTTTTCGAGGGAGAGATGATGGGGTTTTTACGATTGGGGAGAAGGTGGTTCAGGGGTTGTTGGGGTCTGGAGCCGCCGGCAGGTGGGGTGTCAGGGTTGCGCTGGCGCAAGGGTTCAGGCGGAATCCGCGCCGGTAGGGGGTTGTGGGGACATGGTGGTGGCTTGCTGGGCTTTGCTTTGGTGGTTTTTTTTTTTTGATAATTAATTAAATTTAATTAATTTATGTTTTCAAAAAAAAAATATTTAAAAGGCAGCCAATCATATGTCGCCACGTGGAAAATTTAGCCTTAATGACTAACGAAGTTAACTGCCGTGAGTCATTAAGGGCATTTCATAACATTTTTGTGAAATTCAAGTGTATATAGTGAAATTGAAATTTTTTTTTGGGTATTTGGTGAATAAGAAAATAACTCAAGGGGTATATGGTGAAAAATCCGTTAATTATCAAATGCAAAGTATATCCCTTATTCTATCTACTTTTTTGACATAATAGAGACAAGGTTCCAAATCAAATAGGGTGGGACAATATTTGTAAGCCCAAATGTTTGGAAGGTTCTTGGACTATTAAGTTTAAAGAAGAACTCCCTTTGATTATTTTTTTCTCCAACTTTTACTAAAAATAGACGATTATAATTATGTGCAACTTTCCAAAATCATTCTTATTTTGGAAAATAATTTAAACTATAAATGACGAAATTACCCTCATTAGAAATTTAAAAAATTGATTAAATTAACTTAATTAAAATTAAACAAACCTAATCCAAACCATGTGAGGATGGTAGCCTGTCGTTGGGAATCTCATTTCTTCTATGCCCTTGGCCCTTAGAAAGTCTAGAACTTTACACTTTTAAAGGTGTATTAGGATTTGAATTTCTGACTGTTTGGGAGACCTTGAATTAGAATTGAGCCAATCATCGCCCTTTTTTATTAGAAACCAATAAAGGGTCGCCAATGAGTTTTAGGAAAACTCATAAACTTCAGTCATGCTTTTCTCCCAAGTAGAGTTCAAGGGATATTTAGCATGAATCATAAGTTTACCTACGCCCAATGGTCTACTAGTACCAAAAATGAGTTTGGGAGCGAGGGTACTAAGATAACGTTCCTTTTTTATCAGGGGAATCGCCATCCTAGCCCTAGTGCGGCCTTTACTAGCTCTTCCTTGTTCATAATTTCATTACTAAACAATATATGCAACATGATACCTAAAACTAAGTTAGTTGATTTTATTGACAAACGTTAATCACAAAAGGTTTACATTGCAACAAATGTCGTTATTCTTATTTATTCCAAATTCGTGAAAATAACAATAAATAAACAACATTCGCCTTGACTTAGGTGATAAAACAATCAATTAATTTATTCAATTCTAATCTTTACTTAACGAAAGAATGCTATGTGAAATTGATTAATTAGAGTTTATTTAAAGTGATCAAACAACACTAATTAATTGATTAAAGTGATTTAAGACAAGAAAAATAAAGTGATTTAGCTAAGTGCTCGAGAATTACCACTTTTCCTTGCTAGATCTTCGTTTAGAATGAAAATGGACTCCTTTTTGTTCGGGAACCTCCACCGTAAGGACAAAGTAACAAGAGGGGGAGGGGTGAGTGTTTAGGATAAGGAGGGGTTAATTATTCCATAAACTTATGAATTATTACTGTTGTATTTCTCTGGCTTTTTCTGTGTGTTCAAAGCTCATTTTGAACCCTTATTTATAGGCAATGGTTGAGATTAGGGTTTCGGACACACTGTCGCAACAGGGGGCGTGCAAGTGTAGGAGTTGCGCTGCATGATGCATCATATTTATATACGATTTATACCGCACATTTATGCTAGTTTTATAGTTGCCTTTAAGGAATTTTTATCGCTTCTTAGGTCGTAAATGCATAAGCTGTTCGTTTTGAACTCTATTACACTTCTTTTGTGTTTTCTTAATGTTTCAGGTAGTTTTCATAACTATTTGGACGCTTTCGGAGAAAGGATGTAATGTCGATGAATCGAGGTCAATCAATGAAAGATATGTGTTTGTGGAAGCTTAGGTTGAGATTTATATGCATGAGGAATGAAAATAGCATCCACAAGAGTCGCTATGCATCTTCCGGGAATGAATTTGAGTTAGAAACGAAGAAAAACGAGGGTTTTCAAAGTGTCAAAACTGACATTTGTTCACTCTTTTGATTATAACTTGAGTTCTACAGATTGTATTAAGATGATTCAAATTGCGTTAGAAACTAGACTTAAAGAGATTTCCAAAGATAGGTCACACGCCTATATAAGCTTCCTAGAATAAGAGATATAGCGTGTTCAAAATTCTCAAGTTCTCGCGAGGCGAGCTGCGCTCGCAGCATCCGCAAGCAACACCCAAGCTTCGAATCTGCTTCCCCTGCAGTCCGAGCTGCACTCGCAGCCCGCCAGACGCCCACAACTTGCGTGCTAGCTCCTTATCATCGCCTCGTCATCAACGTTCAACCAATTGTAAAGGTGGGCACCGTGCCGTGCCGGGCCACCTTTTGGCACACCCCACGGCACGGCATGGCCCACGTGCCTGGCGTGTCGGGCCGCGGGCCGGCCCGAATTAATGTTTTTTTTTGTTTATTTTGTTTTTAATTGATATTTTTTTTGAACAACCTTTTAAAATGAGTATATTTAATTTATTTTATTAATTGATGAATAACTTATTTACGATCCGATAACACAATAATAAAATAATATACGAGTGCGATAACACAAAATTTGATGAATAACTTATTTAATTTTATTATACGCCGGTATGATAAATCGATAATACAATAATTTATAATGACAAAAATCATACAATAATTGATGAATAACTTAACTTTATAACTTATTTTATTATACGGGGTTCAATAATACAAAAATTAGCTATAATTAATAGTATGTAATAATCTAATTATTCTTCTTGTTCTTCTTCGTCTTCGTCTTCTTCTTCTTGTTGTTCAACTTCATCGTCCAATTGAATTGATTGAGAACCAGTAGAACCCGACGTTCCTTCATCGTCGTCGTTTTGTGTATAAGTACGATCTTGGCAGCGAGTTTTGACATCCAACCAATCCTTGAAACAAACACACATTACAAGTGTTTCGGGTTTTAGTCTTGTTCTTCTATCGTCTAAAACCCTTCCCGACGCACTAAAATCTCTTTCGGAGGCAACGGAGGAGACTTGAATAGCAAAAATATCACGAGCCATTGCTGCCAAAATTGGATGTTTCGTGCTTTGTGCTTTCCACCAATCAAGGATGCCGAGGCCGTATTTCTCTTTGTCATCCATGCCTTTCATGAAGTCGTAACTTAAGTACATTTGCAACTCCGAAACATCGCTTTGTGTTCTCCTAGATGATGATTCAGTACCCGAAAACTTAGACATCATGTTAGCAGCTTGTGCAAATAAACCTTTGGCCCTTTTACTTACATTTTTGGATGTTTGAGAGGGAGCAATCGAGTCACGGTTCCATATTTAGATTCATAAACTCTATATAAGGAAAAAAATTGATTGGTTACATTAGTTTTATAAGATTCAACATCATCTTCAAAATTCATGCATTGAAAATAAATATCAATTAATAAAAATGTGCCATCATACTTTTGCCTTGGATCTAATATAGAAGCAAAAAATATAAATCATAGGAATAGTAGTGTAATATTTACGCCATTTTTCCTCCATTAATGGAAGATATCCATCATAATTGTGTTGTTACCGGTGTTCATTGAAAAGTTGTGCAAGTAAACATGCATTGCTAAGAAAAGAATGAGCACAAGGATTATAAACAGAAGAAAAACAATGTGTCATACTATATAATAATTGTAAAAACTGCATATATTTTTCACAATTAGACCAATCATCATCTAGTAAAGCAAATTGTGGAAATTTTTTATTATAAAAAATTGTTAATGGACCCTTGTACTCGATTGCCCTACTCAACATTTCATAGGTGGAGTTCCACCTAGTTACACAATCCGTTGGTATTTTGATAGCCTTTATCCTTTGTTGCTTGCAAAAAGCTTTCCATTCCTGAAATCTCATGTTAGAGCTGTTAATAGACATAATAGCATTCCTAATTTTGTGATTAAATGGACCAAATGCTTGTGTTCCATCCTTCACACACAAGTTAAGGATATGACAAATGCATTTAATATTACATCGGTCAATTGTGGTTTAACTAAATTTGCACAAAATGTCATAGAAGTTGCATTATCAAAAGTCATAGACATGATTTTGGGCCTAAAATTATATGCATCAATAGCTTGCATTAAATGATGAGCAATATTAATATCGGTATGGGGGTATTCAAGTATTTTAAAATGGACCAAATGCTTGTGTTCCATCCTTCACACACAAGTTAAGGATATGACAAATGCATCTAATATGAAGTGCATCTCCATCTAATATTACATCAGTCAATTGTAAGAATTCTAGTTAAATGTTTCTCATTAACTAGTGTTATTTTCAGAGGGAATTTCATATAAGTTTGTCATCATCAAAAAGGGGGAATTTGTTGAGCCATATGAATTAGAAGTTTTGAATGATGACAAACCAATACTTGAATATAATCTAGAATTGCTATATGTTGTTACTGTTGTGCTTACATACAGGTTGACAAGTGATTATTCAAGTAGAACAAGACGAAGACTCATTAAAGCATTAAAGAGGATGAACGTCTTGAAGCAATTACAAGAAGACTTTGCATACATTGTAACAATATTAGGTCTTGATGTAATAATGGTTTAAGGGTTGTACAAACTTATATAAGATGCAAGAGAGGATAAAATATGTTTGTGGATGATAAGGAATCACAATTCCTTATCATACGCAAACTAGGAAATACTACATGTCTAAGACCAGTCTGGGAACAGATTGGAACCAAACTGCTGGTACTTCCTATGAGCAGCTTATTTTTTGGAAAGTTTATTTTTGAAGAAAAATGTTTTCGAAAAATGTACGGCTGATCTTATACGAGATGTTAGAGATCTTTAAATGTTGCATAGATCAGAATATTATTCTGAAATGATTTTATTTTATTGAGAGAAAATAAAATAAAATCAGATATATTATATTTTCCATGATCCTGGTAAATATAATATATGGGAAATATTCTTGAGATATGGCAAGTCTTATTTAAGGACCTTAACACCAATAATTTCAGCAAGGCTTTTGAACGAAAAAATACTGAGAACATATTTTGAAAAAGCTGCATATTCTCTCACGCATCAAAGAAGAAAAACCTTAAAGCCATCGAGTGATCTTCATATACTCTCATTAAGCACTTAGGCTATTCATACAAGAGAAAGAGTGATTTTGTATTGAACTACTAGTAACTGACAAGTGGTTGGGGAAGTGTTCTCTGGGAACACTTGAGTGAACTGCTAGAGTTAGTAGTTGGGTAGCGGCTAGAGTTAGTTGCTAGGGAATTGTCTTGTGCAGAGTTGTGCAAGCAATTGAGTGTAATCTCATTGTTATTCTGAGTTGATTAATAATAGAGATTAGTGTGAGTGGAGGACGTAGACTTATTAGAAGTCGAACCTTGTTAAATCGCTTGTGTTTGTTTTATTCCGCTGCTTAAGAGCCAGTTCTCTTATTGGTCTCACGATTCAAACTCAAAAGTTTTCAACGCTTATCACTTACTCAATTCACCCCCCCCCCCCTCTTTAGTATCTCATGCACTTTCAATAGATACTCGTGACTAATCCCCTAACCAAAGTTCCCAAGTTACCCAATGCCTATCCAAGAGTATAGATCATCAAAGTGGAACCAAGCCATCAGAAGTAGGAAGAACTAGGAATCAAACGAAGAACTCTTACTAGTGGCACTCCTCTCTTTTGGGGAGAGCTAAAAATGAACCCGATCGCTCTCCGCCCACGTATGCAAAAGATTTGCATATAAATCAAGTTTTTGTAGCCTAAAGTATAGTATAACTTATACTATACATAGTTGATGATGACACTACAAACTAAAGAACCAAAACTAACACAACCACTACTCCAAAGATCACAAAATCGAGCCCATATAATGCACACACAACTACCAACCCCAAATGCTCCCCCAAGCTAGACTCGGGTTACACGAACAACGCAGCATCGCAATGATCCGTGCGCGGTTCGTGCATGAACTACCGAATAAGCCAAATCTGGCCTACTTACCGCAAGATACAACAAATGGCCAACCAACCTGCGATGTGCCTCAGGATCCCAAAGTAACTCACCCGTAGATAGTGCAAGTTTATGATTTTGTTCAACAGGAGTAAGACTAAGTTTGGAACCTAACAATCCTACTTCCGAAATTATATCCAAAGTATATTTTCGTTGGCACAAGAAAATTCCCGAAGAAGATCGGCCAACTTCCAAACCCAGAAAATATTTCAGAGAGCCAAGATATTTCATCTTAAAACAATCACCCAGATAAGATTTGAAAGTACGGAGAGTGACGGAATTATTTCCAGAATTAACAAGATCATCAACATAAACGAGAACATTAATATGAATGGCATCTTTTGAGTATGTGAAAAGAGAATAATCAGAATAAAACTGAAGAAAACCGTACCCTTTTAATGCGGTGACCATTTTTGCGAACTAATACGTCGGAGCTTGTTTAAGACCATACAAAGACTTCCGTAGGTGATGTGTTGAAATATATAATGATTTACCCCTCTAATCTCTTGCATTTTGTTGTGATTTTAGGCCTCCTTAGGCCCTTTTGCTACTAATATTTCTCGTTTAGTGTTTCAGGTTTAATTCATTATTTTGGATAGATCGGGAGCAATTTGGGAGCATTATGGAGCTAGATTTGGAGTAGCATTGGGCTTGGATATGAGAGAAGCAAATAAAATAGAAAATCGAAGAAAAATGGATCGAACCGGTCGGGCGAGACCTGATCCGGTTCTCTTATTGTTCTTCAATAGGCTTAATAAAAAGTGATGGATCAAAAGGATTTGATCCTCGGAAATGGCCAATGCATCAGAAAGTGAGAGTTGATGCTTGGCTTTTTACTGGTAGGAGGCACGAGAAGTTGTTGTTATCGATCAAATACTGGATAGCTTCCTTTAACTTCCAACAACTCTCAGTAGTGTGGTCCCTACCTTGATGATACTTGCAACGGGTATTAGGATTCCAGCTAGGTGACCTCTTTTCAGGTGCAGGATCTTGGATGGGTCAAATAGGAGTGATGAGTCCCTTGGCATGGAGACGATCAAAGGCCGTGTCATAGCTCATCCCAATAGGGTGAACTTTTTCTTTAGTTGTCTTCTTGGCCCTTGATAATCTATGGCTAAGACATCATTTAAATTGAAGGTGCTAACATTGTTACTAAAGTGGGTGTTTTTGGAAGAAGAAGGATGGTCGTTCTTCTTTCCTTTCCAACCAATGTTGTTACTATTGTTAGCAGCTTTCGAATTTATAAGGTCATCTTCAATATCGATGCCTATGTTGTAAATGGCCTTGAAAGTGTTCAAAGTTTGATACTTCAAATGCTTTTGATACTTTTCTTGGAGATTTCTAATGAACATTCTCACAGACTCTTCTCACTTGGAACTTCAATCATTTTGGCAGAAGTTTCCTTCCACCTATTGTAAAATGCAGTAAAGCCTTCATTTTCTTTTTATTCAAGAATTTCAAGTTCTGTATGATCAGTTTCTACTTGAATATTACATTTGTATATATTAATTAAAACATGTGTAATAGTATCCTATGTAGCAATCTTCTCAGCACCTATAGGCTTGTGCTACACCAATTTACGTTGTATTTTATCTTCTTTTTTTTCCTACTTTTCTAATGCTTATTTTCATTGCATGCTTGATCATATCACAGAAAGTTGGAGGCCAGAACTCTCAGAATAGAAGTGTAGTAGCCATGTCGCAACGTACCGAAAGCAGGCCATTACGACAAATCAAGTATGACATGATAAACAACATTAACCAGAATTAGATGTCATTGGTAAACATTCTATTGTTAGTCCATGACATACTGATGCTGATGTAAATCAGTATCTGATTTTGTCTCACAAATTCTTTTATTTCTCCCTCATATTATAGGAGTTTCTTTTGCTCATCACACTTTCAAATCGATTTCTTTGTGCATTTTTCAATAGGGAGGAAAATCAGGCAAACCTACAAGTTTAGAAAAGTTTTGGTTTGATACTCACAAATCTGGAAATTTTGTAAACAAGCCCAAAACCCAAGAAAAAACATGTAAGTAGACACACACTATAGTCTAAATGCTAGATACATACACTTATAAATTGTTTACATTATAAGATTGATTTCTATTAGGAGATGAATAAGAGGACTATTGAAGAAACTCCGGAGATGCAAATATTTGATGTCATAGAATCTTGTTTTGGACGTTAAAACAAAGGAAATGTGGCTAGTTATGGTGGCTGTGTCGGGCTAAAAGACATTACGGGAGCTCAACAAAGTTGATCGGAGCTTGAAAGGAAGTTGAAAGAAGCTGAGAAAGCTAATGAAGCACTATTAGGACGGCTAGAAGATGTAGAGACTCAAAACAAATTGTTTGCTAAATGTTTAAATGACTTTGAAGCCAAAGTTGAGGGGAAATTGCAAAGCTTTTTGGATTCCTTTAATGCTTATTGAGGTTTGTCATTCTCTATAATAAATGTTTTCAAGCTTTCTGGTTCTGAATTTTTTACTCTATATTTTGTTATGTTCGTTTATTTAAGTTTGTTCTTTTTTCTCTTGTTCTTCTAGCATAATCCTCAATTTGTTATGAATATCTAACTCTATGTTCTGTTATCCATTTATCTTTTTTTTTTTCCTATTAGTTAATCCTCAATCTGTTATGAATTTCTAACATATGACACATTTTTCTCTAGAATGTTGTGCTACTGAATAGACTATTTGGGACTCGGACTGAATTTTGTGAGTCGGATGTTGTGTCAAATATTTTATGCATGAAGTACTAGTTTCTCACTGCAACCTGCAATCACTGTTGGTTTATGCATTGTTACTCAGAAAAGGTTTATATCATCATTTTATGCATGAAGTAGAAAAGGTTTATAACTGGATAATTTTTTAATAGAATCATCTTGATGTTGTTCAACAAGTATTTAAAGTAATAATCTCTTTACTATTATTTTTTTTTTTATCAATGGCAAGCTTCATTATATTCTCTTTTATTATAACTTTCCTGATGACATTGCTTATTTCTCTGTCATATGTCAATCACGTCAAAGGTTGGTTCTTGTGGAGGCGACTTTGTCAATATAGGGCGGAGCTCAAGCTATGAAGCTTGTATCAAACTCATTAAACTTCTAAAACTTTGAATTGTACATTGCCCATATATTCTATTTTGTTTAGTCTTAGAATTGTATACATCTCTTATCAATTTTGTTTCTTCATTTCTAAATATACAATATCTGGTTGGTTTTATATAGAATTTTTGTTTGAAAATTTTGAGTAATTTATCCATACACATAATTACATGTGTTAACTATGAGCAATATAATATGTAGGTAGTTTTACGTAATTTGATAGTTTATAAATAATTTTACGTAATTTGTTAATATATAAATAATTTTAATATTATTTGCTTAATTTTAATACAATGCTGAAGTTCTTGGAGCAAGTGGCACCTTAACACTCATTAGTCCAGATTATTTGTCTTGGACATTTGCATGTCATTCCCCAATACTAGGCTTGTAGTGGATGTTTGTGCAGGAGACAAGAAACTATTTGATGAGCACTTTTTTTTTAACGAGAATGTGACTGAATTTGGACAAGTCAAACTTTCGTTCATAGTGAGCTTGGTGCCCTTGCAATGCGCTATATTTCTATGCCGTTTGCTGTTTATGGTCACGTAAGACTTCTTTTTATTCCTAAACAAAGTAATAAATTAGATGAAGAAAATCATCCTTCTCTTAATGTCAAAGGTAAAATTGTCGCTCGGTTTGGCAATATCTGTGGGAGCCATGCATTAGAAGAGTATACTCTTTTTGAGAAGCAATCTAATGAATTTGAACGAGTGGATATTGGTCCGAGAAAAAGATTGAGAGGCATTACACTTTCTAGAGGTTGGGTGGGTGTGCCAGCGTATTCATCCCTTATTCTTGATCTGGACTTATCGGAATTTAGAAGAGTACGTAAGATTCTTAAATAAACGGTAGAATTGCGAGTAGAAATTAGATTGGTGTCTGGTGATTAAGTTTATTGTAGATGACATTCTTATCAATGTTCGTATGGGATGGCACTCACCTAGGCCATGAGGAAGATGCACTGAGGAAGTGTGTGGTATCGAGCATGAGGACGAGATACTTTTTTCCCTTTTTCCCTCTTGACAAGAAGATTCTTATCTTATTTGTCTACTTTCTTCTCTTATTAGCATAAATCTCCCCTTTAGTCCTCGATCTACTGATGAAATGTCTCCACAAGAAACTACCAAAGAATAGAGTGATGAGCAAATGATTGAGGTGTATCGTCTCTACCACACTAATTTAATGCTCGTCATTTATTGTTTCTTATTTACTTCTATGCATGGATCTGATATTGATTTCCCTGCACTGCCTTTCTGTATTTACTATTTAGGCTTGTGTTCCTAAAGCGTCATCAAATCTCAGGCTCCCTTGATATGCAATTTATTCTTCCTTGTTTTTAGTTATGGAAATTTGTTGAATGCATTTGGCTTCTTCTAACTTGGACCCTTGTTGTGTTTTTTTCTTTTTTATTATAGGACCCTTTTTATGTAGGCGCCCCTTGAGAGTGGTTTTGCTTGTTTTGGTTACTAAATGACTTGCTCGTTTAGGAATCAATCAATTTCTTAAATTTAACAAAAAAAGAAAAGGAGGTCAAAGGATTTATTAAGAATTTTTACAGATATGACCTCCTTGCTAGCCTCGGGTAAGGCTGCCCTGGTTAAAGCTGCATACATGGAACAATATATAGGTTCAAGATCATACGAAGTGATTGTTTAATTAATGGTTCTTCATAAAAAATAAAAAATAAAAAATAAAAAGATAACGGTTTTAAATAATAGCATCACGTAAATGAGCTTTTGTGCCATTGGATGGTTTTACGAATTTTTTTGCGATTTATCTTCTTAGTATGGGTTTGCCTGTTTCTTCAGGTTTTTGCTTGCACATCAGAATAGACCATTTGCATCTCCTTCAATAGAGATATATATTTACTGTTTTCATAGGTCGAGAAGAGTTTAAAGCTATGCAAGTTTATGGTTCTATTGAAGTATCATCTTCTGCATGTACATTTGATGTCTTCAAAAGAGAAGCAAAGGATGCCTTTGTATTATCGAAACATAGCAAAACTCTACCTATGCTAGATGGCTCTCGAGTTTATGACGATTGTGATTCCTTGAAAATGAATATCGACGTTAAGGATGTTGAAAATCGTTTTTGCATTAGAGGTTATGTGGAATGGGATTGAAGATCTCGTGATTATGTGAAAATTCTAATGTAGTCTTATGACTTTTTGACCATCATAATTTTGTAAAATGGAAGGTTGAGATTATTTGTTTTGTGATTTATTTTTAATTAGTAATTTTAATTAAAAATATTTTTTAATTATTTTATTTTTTATTTCCAAAATTTCAAAAATATTAAAAAATAATTTCTGAAAGATATATTATTTTTAATTAAAATTACTAATTAAAAATAAATCAAAAAACAAATAATCTCAACCGTCCATTTTACAAAACTATGGTAGTCAAAAGTCAGGTCCGACCCTTAGCCGGTGCAGGGTGAGCAGTAGCACAGGGCCCAACTTTGTTTGGGGGCCTCAGGTAAACTATTTTTACATAATATTTGCAGCAAACAAATATCAATAGCTAAACTTTGGTTGAGTGGTGTAAGGAGCTCATCCGGAAACTATTTTTACATAATATTTGCAGCGAACAAAAATCAATAGCTAAACTTTGGTTGAGTGGTGTAAGGAGCTCATCCGGAAACTATTTTTACATAATATTTGCAGCGAACAAACATCAATAGCTAAACTTTGGTTGAGTGGTGTAAGGAGCTCATCCGGAAACTATTTTTACGTAATATTTGCAGCGAACAAATATCAATAGCTAAACTTTAGTTGAGTGGTGTAAAGAGCTCATCCACTAAGAGATGGTCGTGACTCGTGAGATCAAATCCCAACAACCTATTTATTTCAACTGCACAGGGCCTCCATAATCATTAGGACGGCCCTGTCAAAAGTCATAAGACTACGTTAGAATCATCTGTGATTATGGCTCCTTATGCCTTGACAACCAACTAGTTCAGTTGTTCAAGGTGAAAAGTGTTTTGCAGCTATCCATTACACCGTCTTTTCAGAAGTCGTACAAGCAAATATAGATGTTTCATATATACCAAAGAATGGACATGATGTTCATCCCAAGGTTTATGGAATTATGGGAGTCTTATCGCTCAATACAATAACTATGACTATACATCCCGATACAACAAAGATTACTACATATCGGATTCGGATTGTACTTTTTCAGTGGAATCAAGAAGATTCGGCACAACTAGGGAATAGTGGGGTGATAGCACTATCTAGATCGGTGATTATTGTGCCACTAAAATCCCCCCTTATTATATTGTTATATGCTCAAGGAATGGAACCAGTCCCTTCTTGTGTTAATTCCGAAGGTGAGGGCTCCGGAGGTGGCTAACCACTTTAGACCTATTAGTCTTTGTAATACGGTTTATAAGTGCATCTCGAAGTGCCTGGTTAATAGGCTAAAGCCGATTCTTTCAAGCCTTATCTCGGAAAACCAGCATGATTTTATACCTAGAAGGTACATGGAGGACAACATCATACTGAGTCACGAGCTTATGCATTTGATTAACTCAAAGAAGGGATCAAACTTTACAGCGGTCAAAATTGATATGTCCAAGGCTTATGATAAAGTGGACTGGTTATTTCTAATGAAGACTCTGCGGGCTTATGGTTTCTCTAATCATTGGATCATGATGCTTTCTCAGTGCTTCACGACGGTAAGCTTTAAAGCAGTTATTAATAGGAAGGTGTTAGGTCATTTTGCTCCAAAATGTGGCTTAAGGCAAGGGGATCCTCACTCCCCGTACTTGTTTATTTTCTGTATGGATATCCTTTCAAGGATGTTGACGCTGGCAGATGACATTAATCAATTAAAGGGTTTGAAGGTTTCTCGACGATCACTGTCGATTTCACACCTCTTCTTTGCAGATGATGCTATGCTTTTTTGCAAGGTAGATGAGGAATCATGCTCTTGTATCTCTGACATTCTTATGAGGTTTGGAAAAGTTTCTGGTCAGCAATTGAATCTCCAAAAATCTGTGATTAAATTCTCTCCGGGGTTGGATGATGAAAAGAAATTGGTTGTAAAACAGGCACTATTAATGCCTGACAACATGGGAATCCATCTAGGAGCCCCAATAGATATCAAAGGGAAGAAGGGCCTCCACTTTCAATTCTTAGTGGACCGGGTTTCGGAGAAAATAATCTCCTGGGCGTCTCTTCATCTCTCATAACCAGCTAAGTTAATTCTTATCAATGCAGTTTTGATGAGCATGACGGCTCATGTCATGAAGTGCCTTAAACTTCCTCAAAGCATAGCTAACAAGATAGATTCGCTAATATCGCGGTTTTGGTGGGCCAATAGTGGTCAAAAGGGGGTGCATTGGGTAAACAGGAAGGTCACGCAACTACCCAAAAGCATGGGTGGTTTGGGAATTAGGGGAACTTCAAATTTCAACAATGCTCTCATCTTCAAACAAGCCATTAGAATGCATCTCAACCCCCAGCTGCTCCTCTCCAGAGTCTATCAAAGTTTCCAAGACTGTAGTATATGCAATATCGCCAAACCCTATATAAGGAAAGGGAATTCGTCTATGGGGAGATCTAATATTCAAAAGGTCAGTGAAGTCTTTAAGGAGGGGTTCGCTTGGAAAGTAGGGAATGGAAACAGTATCTCGGCAATCAGTATGCCATGGGTGAACGGGGAAATTCTTGTTGTTAAGTCTGGTCAAACTTTGAGGTCAGCTTTGAATTGGAAAGTGAGTGATTTTATTGACAGTGAGACCAATACTTGGGAAGCAAGGAAGGTTAGAGAGCGTTTTGAGTGGGAATGGGCAAAATCAATTCTAGCAATGGAACTCCCACATGCACGTGAGGATGACTTCACCTATTGGAAATACCATCCGTCAGGAAGGTATACAGTTAAAACAGGATACTACTTTTTATTAAAAGACTTGGGGTTAGAGAATGCGAGTTTCTCGGTAAGGGACCAGGATTTTATAAAGGTAGTATGGAGAATGGAGATCCACCCAAAGTGGAAATACTTTGTGTAGAGGATTTTCCATGATGGTATTGCAGTAAAAGTTAATTTAGCTAGGAGGGGGGTCCCTATTGATACAGGGTGTGATCTTTGTAAGGTTGGTGAAGAGGATGGCCAACACCTTTTCAGATTTTGTACTCAGGCAAAGGAGGTTTGGGAGACTGGCTCCCTGAATATTTGCCCTGACTTTCCGGATTCCACTTCTTTGAGAAGGTGGATTCAACACTATATCCTGCTTTTTTACAGCGAGGATGGTAAGTATGGTAGTCGTAACGTTTGGTTCATAGCAACGCTCTGGGACTATGGAAAGCTAGAAACGAGAGATGTTTCAAAGGGATAGAGGGGACTTCTAGTCGGGTAAGAGAGTTTATCAACCTCGCACTTCAGGATCACGAAACTTTCTTCAATCATGACAACATAGCAAATGGGGGAGAGGTTAGGAACGGTGAGGATCCTGCAATACCTCCGGGTTTCTTTCACGTCCACTTAGGTAAGGAGGGGGATAGGTTTGATAACTTCGTAGTGGAAGTTGATGGCTCCTGGGATAAGAATACTACGAGAGCAGGGATAGGATGGGCGGTAAAGCCTAATAGGCATGGTTATGTGCTAGAGGAAGAAGGAAAACAGGGAGTTGTTGCGTCTGCTATCCAATGTGAAGCTTGGGCTTGTCTGGAAGCCATGAGGTGGGCCCGATCTTAGGGTAGGTTTGGGATCCTTATTATGTCCGATTATGTCTCTTTGGTGAACAGCCTACTTAATAAGACAAGTGAGGAGGTGTCGATAATGTGGCTTATTAAGGAGATAAGGGTGGTAGGTGCGACTTTCCAGTGATGCTCCATATTAAAAGTCCCGAGAGAGCAGGTCCAAAGAGCTAACGATATAGCTAGGAATTGCAGGATCAACCTTTTCTCTCTATTGTAATTCTGTTAGTTTGCTTTTGCGTTTGTCAAAAAAAAAAAAAATATATATATATATATATATATATATATATATATATATATTATACTGTTAATATTAATGTAAAATTGGTGAAGTTAGTAGTAATTAAATGTCTGTTTTTGAAATAGCCCACTGCCACAGTGCCAAGTATGTTTGGTTTTGAAGTAGCAGGATTCTAAGCAACCTGGGGATGGGGAATGCTCAAGGAAGACAGATGGAACTTTTTAAGTATTTTAATTTGGTGTCGTAAATGTCTATGCTAGGCCTAGGTAAGTCTTCCGGTTTATTTTATTTAAATTCATTAAATTGCCTAAAATTATGTGTCGGACAAAGTATAACACTTGTTACAACACGGAATGAGTGCACAACATGAATTTGCTCCAAATAAAAAAGCATTCTGTTTGGGGTCCAAATAAGCCTATTTGGGCCGATCCATTTAATGGATAAACACCCATTAAAGCAGCAATAAGAGGAAGCTAAAATCATGGGATCCCAATAGCCATTAAATTTTTTTGTTTTTACTTCAAGAACTTCCAACATAAACACCTTCATAACTCCTTAAAAACTGCCTTAGTGTAGGCTATCTCACAACTCTATACATGATTGACTGTTGTGGGAGCTTCTAGTATCAAAGGTAAACCAACAAATGATACAATATTCAATTCACATCAATTATAAAATGTAATAAAGTCAAAGTCATCATCAATAAATGTTTCTAGCCAACAATATTAATATATAGAAGAATGAATCAGCCAAATAAATCATCGATCAAATGGAATAATAAACGGGCATGCAATGGTTGACAATAATGTTTTGAAGATAGTAATGGAGTTATGGGAAGCACGTCTACCCTTCCACTCATATTCTATAAAACTTGTCATGTTTATACAATTAGGCTCGTATGACACTCCATCATTAACCATCTTCATTAAGTCAATACATCGAAAAAAGTCAAGGGAGAGATAGAAAGATGGCGGCGAGGGTGTCGATGATGAGCGTAGTAGGGTGGATGATGGTGGTGATAATGTTGGGATGCAGCCTCAAAGCAATAGAAGCAACTACGGATGAAACAGAGAAATTTCATGTGGGTGGCATAGTTAAATGCCAAAATTGTTCTGGGGATTGGAATGAATGGGCTGAAGGTGGAAGACCTATCGAAGGTACGTCTTATACATTTTTATGTTTGTGTTAACATGTACTCGTCACTTCATTTTAAATAATTACTTTGTACATCATGTATATGTCCTATATCGACCACTGTGATCACTCTCTTTTTGATTTAAAATAAAATTAAGGCGAAATTTAAGTAAGGTACATGTTATGGAGTATAATACAATTATTGTACAAAATATGTCATCCTATCCATCCCCTCTAGTCCATTAGTCCATAGCAATTCAAAATAAGAAAGATTAAGAGTATTATTTTGAGATGGAACTTATATCAGTAAAAATAATTAGTGGTAGATTAATAGTATATGAGTATATATATATATATATTGAGTATCAACGAAAAAGTTGATTTTGAAGATGATGGTAGTTGGTAAGTATTATTGCATGTTTAATTAAATGCTTATTATATTTTATTGATACAATACATGTGTTCTTATTTTCTTCCCAAATTAAATTAAGTGGTGACATTTAATCAATAACTACATGAAAAAAATAAAAATAAAAAATTCATCGATCGGTTGTATGATTAACATGAAGTTCAATCTTCCAACAGGAGCTAGAGTATCGATAACATGTTTAGATGAGGGCAAGGGACTAGCATTTTACAACAGCGACGCGACGGACAAGTATGGTAAGTTCAACATGGTGGTAGTCAAGGTAATACATGGCAAGAATTTGAACCCAAAAGATTGTATAGTGAGATTAGTATCATGCCCAGATAAATCATGCAATATACCAACAGATTTTGGACAAGGAAATACAGGGGTGAAACTAAGACAGCCTTCAGTTATGTTTAGGGATAAGACCGAATATGATGTTGGTTCTTTTTTTTATACCACACCTACTTGTGATGTTAATCCTGATGATGATACTAAATCCTACCAAGGCTCAAAATGATTTTCGATCGATCTTATGTAATTACATATTAACTTTTTTTGATTTGTTGTAAATTGAAAACAAATCCTTATGGCTTGTTGTTTTGTTAAGAATATTTAGTGTTTAATTTGTGAATTATAATGATCGAATTGGTCATATGTGGGAGAACAAGCAAATATTTAAATTTTGATAGTTATTGGATAATAATTGAATGAATAACATACTCTACGTAAATGGTTGTTAGTTGACTAAGTTTACAAAAAGGTAGGTAATGGCAAAAATTTCTATCTCTTATTTAATACAAGTATTGCACAACTATGTGGTGGTTGAGCTGGCAATGACACTGACACAACAACATGACACGAACTGAAAAATTTGTTTAGTATTAAGGGCCTACGGCATGATTAATTAAACAGGTCAATATGATATGACATATTTAGTTATACAAGTCAGGTTAGTGTAGAGATCCCAACACATAACTAACATGACTACTTATCCAACCTGAGAATAAAATAACCAATATTTATGGAATTGACGATATATATTTTGTACTCCCTCCGTCCCCGAAAGAATGACCCTTATGCCTAAATCTAGTCCCAAAATGATCATCCCATTTGCATTAAAATACTCTCCAATTTGCAATAATATTTGTGCAAAGTTAACTTCCCCATTTAAATTTTGTTTTTATATGTACTTTTATGACTTTCTCTCTGTACTTTTTTGCAAACCCCATGTCAATTTCACTTTCCAATGTACTTTTACTACTATCTTTTTCACTTTCTTAATACCCGCGAAATAAGCCCAAAAGGGTCGTTCTTTCGGGGATGGAGGGAGTACAAAGTTAACTTTTTTTTTATATAATACGACAACATGACACAAACTGGACATGAAAATAGCGGGTTAGTGTCAAGGATTTTCGACCCATTTAATTAAACATGTCAATATGACATGACACGTTTATTAATTGGGGTGGGTTGGTATTGAGGTTTTCTAGGGATAGCCCATTTAACTTTGATTTGAACACGAACACAGCACGACAGGACATTTTGCTAGCTCTACAAGGTAGTAGTGCAAATATATCCCGGTTAAACATTGGTGTACATATATATACATTATTTGAACCATTACCGCTTACTAGCCAGCCTAACATTCACTTGATTTATTGTAGGGATATATTTTTGCAACTTTAAGGTAATTATGATTGATTCCTTGATTAAAAGTCTTATAGCGTTTACAAAGAGATTTAAATCTAACAAAAAATCTAACAATTGAATCAAATAGAAATCTCCTTTCAGCTAAGGTACAATTGTTGTATACCGAACATTCTTCATACTTTTCTTTATTGTTGTGTTTTATATCCTTCTTCAAGTAATAATATCCATGAAAATGATTTTCGTCTGACTTTCAGTTCACCCTTAGCTTGATAATATTGCAAAATAGACCCATGATTCTAATCCCATAGCTAATATTGCAAAATTAAATGGTTAGGTTTTTGTTTTTTTTTTTTTTCTTTTGAAAAATAATGGTTAGTTGTTATTAAACTCAGTTCCAATAGCAATGGCTTCACAAATTCTCAAATGTATGGAAATTCCTCATTTATCAATTGCTTTCCCAATTAAGATTTTTTATTTTGTTCTATTATCAGCATAGAACAAATGAAGCAGCTTTCCTATATAGGCTATTTCATAAATCTTGTGCGCTACTCCGTATGAAGGTTTTATCAATATGGAAAGTTATTAAGATGTATTTTAGGGTTATTTGGATAATATTAGGATTTATCTTTTCCTAGTTTATCCAGGTTTTTCTAGAGTTTAAGATAGGGTAGGAAACTACATTGGTTGTATTATAAATTGATTGATTATGAGTTTATGGAAAGCAGGTTAAAGTTTATTCACAATACATAATTCTACATGGTATCAGGCCTAAAGTTTAGTCTGGATATTATCGATGAATTGAATGGAATTGCTACAAAAGTTTGAATATTCATTCTTATTTATCGAGAGGAATTCCCATCTCACCTACTCGTGAGACCTGTACAGAGGGAGATGAAGACATACAATATGCATGTATATATGTTTTTATTTTGTACAGAGTGGAAGTTTATGCATCCACTCAGTTTTCAATGAGGATAGGTGTGTGTATTTCTTTAATTTGTACACTTTAGGGTTTATGGATATCGAGAAATAATGTGTATTTCGACACGAGACTCAGAGACTGTTTCCATAAACTCTATTGACAACAACATCTTCGATCTTGTATCTTCTTCTGGTATGTATTAAACTTTGTTTAAGTAGTATATTTGTTAAAAAAAAAGTTAAATGGTTAAGATTAACTATTTTTTCGATCCCACATAAATAAATACGTGTGTACATGCTTATTCCTTTTATCAATAATTTAAGAAAGATATACGCTACGTACATGGAATTTTATAATTTTATAACTCTTAAAAACCCCTAAGACATTCGATAAGAATTATTGAGAAGAATATATATAAATAAAGTAAATGACTGACTATATTTGAAAGTGTATGTGGAGCAAAATCAAGAAGTAAAAAACACATGGTGACTAATTAATAGTTTGGAGTGAAACTGAAGGTGAACATTCCACCAAAACTAAACAATTAATTAAAATTAGTTTGTTGCCTACTATTTATGTTGGTTGCTTATTTTAGCAGATACATACAACAACAATATTGGATGGCATTAGAAATGGTCATCTTACCTTCTCGAGCTTGTGTTCCAAGCATCTTTATAGGAATTAGGAGGACTACATGTTTAATCTTTCTTACTATAATGCCCTTTAATTAATTAACATGCCAACTAAAAATTGACTTCCATTCTCACACTTTCACCCAATTATTTTTATTAGGCTAATAGAGGTTAATTAATTTCATATGAACTCAACCTTCAAATTTGTTACGCTTTTTGCAAGGGTTTGACTAGCAAATATTGGACCAAAAAACCGTGAGGACTGGGGTCTGGTTAGGGTCCTCCTCACTATTAAAAGAAATGTGTATAGACATCTCTACTTTTTGATGAAGTCGTAACCTCTATGTCACGTTAACTCTGATACCATATATATTAAAGTACCAACTCAATCAAAAATTTAAGTTCATGATGGAAACCCAAGTCCCCAAGATTGATTTACATACTGTATCAAATAACTCCACCCATTATAACATTGAAAATTATATATGTTTGCTTTTTTTTTTTTTTTTGAAAACTTGCTTTGATATTTTATTAATCATAATAATAAGTAAAAAATAAAATAAAATAAAATTAATAATAATAATAATAATAATAATAATAAAACAAAATACGGGGTACGAAGTACCTAATTAGACATGCTAGTCAGGTTAGTTGCTAGTTTAAATTTACGCTATCATATTTAGTAACTAGATTATCCCCGTGCGATGCACGATTTTAATAAAAAAATTATAATATAGAATTCGTCTATACGATGAATCTTTTCAATTTTGTCATAAATTCATTGGAAGGAGAGGAATACGGTTGCTATTCAATTTACTATACTTCGGTTTTCTAGATTAAAAGTTGTTTATTAAAACTTAATTAGCTTGTTTACAAAGTATTAAACAAAAGGAAAAAAAATAATCACTAAAAAATGACATCATCAATGGTTTTAGGCGGGAAAAAATTTCATAAGAAAGCAATACGTATACAGTTTTGAGGAGAGATGATGTCAACAATGTTTTATTTTAGTAATAGTTAATAGATTAATTGATTTTGGAGATATTTTAGCTAGATAATTGGGTAGCATATACCATGCTAGGTCATAAAAAAATATTAATAAAAATTGAAAAAAAATAAAATAATTATTATGGCATATAAAACACATTCCATGCACCATAATAAAACATGGACGTAGTGACGTACGAGTACTTGCTTGGGTTCAAAGTCAATATTTTTGTAATTCAACGGCCGCACAATTTAATTTGCTCACTTATTTTAATCAAATTTGGTGTCGCTCACATTCTATATTAATAACTATAATATTAATAATGTATTATACTAGTAAATTAGTTATATATACTACATAACAACAAGAGAAATACACTTGAAAACGATGTGTTTAGAAGGACTAACAACCCACCTTTCCTTCAACCCCAAGATAAATCATGTATATGATCTCCCTAACACTTCTTTCTCATTATTATTCATTCTTCTCTTTCTCTCTCATTTCAAAGCATTATCACACACATACAAACTTGAAGAGAAGGTTTTTAAGCTAGAGACAGTTCAATTAAGAAAATCTCTTCATTTGATTTGATCTACATTCAAATTTTAGCTTATTGGTCACGTTCAATACAGCATTGGTGGAGGTAATTTGGATGACTACGGCGAAAAAAAACAATTGTAAATAAATCTTTTTAAATTAAAGTGTCTTTGTTACACCTGCACGCCCTTTGGTAAGTACGTATAAACTCATCTCTTCCTTCATTCTCTGATCCTTTTCTCTATTAGAAAAAGAAGCATAAGTGTTTATACTTTATATTAACTTTACTATATGAGTTTTATTGTTCCTTACCCACCTATTTACTCTAGGGATAATTTTACAATAGTTACAATAATTTTTAAGTCATTATTATATTCTACATCCCCATATAGATCAAGTAGTGCACATAAAAGTCATAAAATTTCATTGTTTGAATTGAATTGGTATTTTTTTGGGCTTTAAAATAGCATGGGTTGCAATTGGGTTCATTTTATTAGAAAAAAGTAGGTCGTGCAATCCTAATTGATCATGTTCTGATTCTATATATATGATTTCATACAATCCTGCACAATTATGTGTGATCCTATATTCCTATATGATCTCTTGGTACGATTCTACGCGCTTTTGCTTCGATTCTTTCTGGATTTTGATTTTACTGTACCTTTAAACAACTAATTTCAATATTCAATACTATCCTAAAAAAATCAAATAGATGGTCAATTCAACAATTTCAGAATTTCATAGCTAGTCAAACAAATACAAGTAGAAAGGATTGGTTGAAGGTTTGTGTTATAACTACCATGATTATATTATTTTTCGTAGCTATTTGAAAGTCTTCCTTAATCAAAGAACATGCGCTGATATGATATGATATGATACACGTAGGTGCATGTACACTACACACAACATGCGCTGCACGATTATGAGTTCAATGTATTCACTGACAATTCGATAAAAGAAGAGGGCTCATCAAGTAGCTAGGTGTACACAGTACGTCGTACCTGTTTTGGTATCATTTTATCCATGTTTTTGTACCTTGCATTGGTACATGCTAAATAAATTTAAAGGAAAAAAAAAGGCAATGTTAATAGCCTGATTTTTGTAACTTAACTATAATCACTACATTTGAAATATTGAATTGTTGTAGATAAAAACTCATTCCGCTTACATTATCGCACATTCTCTTTTTCTACTATGTACGTATGTCATCTTCATTACACAATACTACCAATATATATACTTTGGACAATTCAATTGATACATTATTAGGAATTCTCCGAATGAGGAAAACTTCTTATTAATGATTCTTTATATTATCTTTAAAAAAAATTAATTTACATTTTGATAGTTTAATTAAGTTGTGTGATCGTCGTGATTTCTTTAATTTAGTAAATTGAATTTATTGGTTTAATTAACAGGTAAATAAGGAATAAAGAAAGAGTGGGAAAATGGGAGAAAAATGGGAGTTCCAAGTAGGAGTGGTAGGAGCATTGTTTCTATCAGTGGCATCATCAGTTTCTATTGTTATTTGCAACAAAGCCTTGATGAGTAATCTTGGCTTCCACTTTGGTACGTCTTTTTTCTCTTCTTTTTTTAACCTTAAGCTTTTTCTCTTTTTTTAAAAAGAAGATTATGCTTTATCCGTTGACTTATATTTTTATTTCTTTTGCTTTTTATTACTGTACTTTTTATAAATATTACCCTCTCTTTGTATTATTGATATTATCATCGGTAAAGTTATATTGTTAAAGTAAGTCAAATACGGAGTAAAATTCGATGGAGTCATAAAGAACAGTAGTGTATGTTACATTGTTTTCTAATGTTAAGTGTTCAAAAAAAAAAAAACAATTTCAAACCTATATTAATTCATTGGATTGAACCAATAATACTAATAAATTGACCTTACTAAAGGAAACATAATTGTCCCTACGTCTATAGCAATGAATCTTTGCTTTCAAACAAATCATTGTTTGGTTTGCACATGAAAAATTTTGTAAGCGTGGCTGACCTTTGAATAATAGGCTTCACCAGCTATGGTGGTTGAGCATGGCAACAGTTTAACCAACAACAACAATGATTAGCCAACAATAAATAATTTCAAACTTTCAATTTTAAGAAATACGAATATAGCTTTTAAAATGTGGTCTATTATTTAGAAACAAAAATGGTAGTTTATCATTAGTTTTTTTTATATGACAGATAAAGTAGTTAACAATCAGAAAATAACTGACACGTAAAGACTTCATTATATGGAGTACAATTTTATAAGATTGTATTGTATAGGTAAGCCAATACTTCGTATAAAGAATGAAATTGAATTTAACTCGAGTTCCATGATTTAATAACATGTGTGTACATGAACGTATGTTCGTATTTGCAGCGACAACACTCACAAGTTGGCACTTGATGGTAACATATTGTACCCTTCATTTGGCACAACGCCTCAAATTTTTCGAGACGAAATCAGTGGACATGAAGACTGTAGTTATGTTTGGCATCCTAAATGGAGTCTCCATTGGACTTCTTAACTTGAGCCTTGGCTTCAACTCCATTGGATTCTACCAAATGACTAAGCTTGCCATCATACCTTTTACTGTCCTCTTGGAAACCATTTTCCTCAACAAACATTTCAGGTTTTACATTCATACTCTACTACTACTACACCACCACCATTCAATAGCATCTTTGAAACAAATTAATAAGTTGTGCTCTTGACAGTATATAAGAATTTACTTCAGAAATTAGTCAGAATACTCTGCTTATAGCTTTTGATTAGTAAGAATTAGTTTTAATATCTGTACAAAAAACGTTCAGTTCAGTAAAAATTTCAGGACAAGGCCTAGAGAGTAGAGATGATAGAAAATATATATTTACTGCTGGTTTTATTAATGAAACACGCGTTCTCTTCACAGTCGAAAGATCAAGTTTTCTCTGTTCATCTTGCTGGTGGGAGTCGGGATTGCTTCTATCACCGATCTGCAGCTCAATTTTGTTGGCACAGTTCTTTCTGCTCTAGCCATAATCACAACGTGTGTTGGTCAGATTGTATCCTTGATTCACTATTTAGCCTTGGTTCCTTTCATTAGTACTTATAATGTTATGTTTGTCCAAGAAATCAGCAATCAGAAAATCGACTTATATAATTTTATGACATCATTCATGAATTCCTTAACCAAATTATTATTTAGCTGACTAACACCATACAGAAAAGACTTAATGTTTCGTCTACACAACTGCTGTATCAATCAGCACCATTCCAAGCAGCTGTCCTATTCGTCTTTGGTCCTATGGTTGATAAGTTCCTTACCAAGCAAAGTGTTTTTGCCTTCAAGTACTCTCCTCTTGTCTTGGTAAGTTTTTTTTTTTTATTTTTTTTTTTCAAAAAAAAAAAAAAGGTAAAAAAATTTATTGATCACCCAAAAAATATTCATACACCAAAGGGCTAGGCAAGCCCTAAGACCACAAAACAGGACAAAAACAGAACAAAACAAACAACACCAAGCAAAAGCTATCTATCAGACACTGAACAAGTCTTTAAACCATTCCTGCTTCCTTCTGCTGGTCTTGATCGGCATGGAAAAAGAGATTCTATGAAATAGCTCATACCACAGATCCTGGATCACCTTCTCTGGTTGCATAAGACATCTGTCCCATTTGGCTTAGTTTCTAGTCTTGGTAAGTTAAAAATAAAATTACCACTTAATGAAGTTTCATCCGTCCCTCTTATCGTGTATGCATCACTTAAATCTAGCTATATTTGTACAGACTGAAGTAATGCAGTCTGTACAAATAATCGGAACACAAAAAATAGCAACCAGCAGTTAATCTAACAGTACAAACTTGAGCACATTCTGCTAATACAGAGTTTTATGCATTACTTAAATGTGGCTATAAGTGTATAAATCTAACACGAAGTTGTATCCTTACATTGAAGTATTAGCAGTATGTGCAAAATAATCTGAACACAGAAAATTGCGACCAGCAGTTAATCTAACAGTACCAACTTTAGCACATACTACTAATACAGAGCATTTAAATCCATTCGTCCTATGATCTTATCTACTTAACATATATATGACCTTATGAAATGTACTTAAATGAGCAGGGATTCATCGTGTTATCATGCCTGATCGCGGTGTCAGTGAACTTCAGCACATTCCTGGTGATAGGAAAGACATCACCAGTAACATACCAAGTACTAGGACATCTGAAGACATGCTTAGTACTTGGGTTTGGTTATACATTATTACATGATCCATTTACAGAGAGAAATATAATTGGAATAACAATAGCTGTATTTGGGATGGGACTCTACTCATATTTTTGTACCAATGAGAGTAAAAAGAAAGTTCCTGTTGGGGATTTATCTACAGCTTCCCAGGTTAATTTATCAACCTTTTTCATCTTTATTTATGTTCTTGCTTTATTTCAACTTTACTAACAAAGTAATTCCTCTTTCAATTCATACTACTTTCACAATTATAAAAGATTTAACTTTTGTATTTGAATTTTTTGAAAATTTGATCCTCCCTTTTAATTGTGATTAGTATTACTTTTCACCTTTTTATTTTCCTACTTTTTCAAGTGTCATATAATTATATTCCCTTTCCTAAACCAAACAACTTATTCCCTTTGAGTTGGGCAGCATTTTTAGCTCTTCCATTTTTCTCTTTTCCTTCTACTTACTAAATAACATAGTCTGTTAATACATGCAAAAATAATGCTTATTTGGATGGAATTTCTGTTAATTAAGGTCGTGTAGGGTTGTTCACGGTCCAGTTTGATAGGTCTAGACCACATTTTGAACAGCCCTAAGGCCGCATTCTTTCTATTTGAAAAAAAAAATACTTAATCTGTCAACAAATAATCTTTTTTTTTTTTTTTTTTTTTTGAAATGGAATAAGGAGGGCTGATTTCATTATGTATTTCTTTATAGGATATCCACAAAACTACTTCTAGTTGTAGTAAAATCAAAAAATAAAAATAAAAATTTACTCAATACATATGAAGTAGACCTTCATCTTAAATTTCTTTCTCTCACTCACTTTACTAAAATTCTTAATATACGTGTCAAAATCTTTTAGAAAGATTCTTAGTCATGCGCGGAGAGAATACCAAATACAAGTATTCCATAGTAAAATCATTTGTTGTAAAGTAAATGTCAGAGTTAAAAATTATTTTCTATATTTCATGTATTCAATTTTTGTATTATTATTATTTGGAAAAATGGCGATACATTTCAAGTCTAAGACATAATGAGAGGAAGGAATACTAACGGCATTGTGAATGGCATGTTGATGTTGCAGATAAAAGATAAAGAAAATTTGCCACTATCAACAGTGAAGAATGTGGGTGTACAAGATAATGAAGGTCATGAAAAGGTCAAAGCAGCCAAGGATTCTCTTGTCTAATCATCAACTCTTTTTTTTTTAACCTTTCTTTTATTTGAACTTCACCTTTTATTTTTATGTTTTTCAAAGGGGGTTGGGAGGATTTTTGTAAGGGATCGGTAATATACCAATATTCTTTAAGGTTCATTTCAATTATATTCTAAAACAGTAAATTGAGGATAATACTCATCTTTTTGCATTATGCTCCACAAAGCCACTTTTTACCAACAATTTGAAAAGTGCCTTATACACATGTTTTTATATTCTCCCTATGTCCATTAGTCATTTAACAACTCGCAAATGCTACGTTACTCGCACGTATGCTTCATTTTGTCATAATTATTTGTGTTGATACGGAGCATAACTACTTGTTGCTTTATCTTGAACCAAAAATATGAAATTTTACATATGAATACGGAGTATAATAACTTATTATTGTATTTAGACACGTATCCATGTCAAAAACGATAACTTGCTAAGTCCCAATGTTTTTATAAGTGTGCCATGAGTTGTCATTAGATGTTACTATGTTAGGCTTGCAATTGACGATTGTGAGCATGAAAAGTCCAATTATAAGCCTAATTTTTGCTAATCATAGCTAGCTTAGGTTGAATTTGGTAAAGGGTGTTGGTGCCATTCCTCCAAAAGGGACACGCATAGGTACCAAAATGAACTTGCTCCCAAAGCCTAATCATATAAGAAAGGTTAAGTGATGGAAGAGCATCAAATAATGATTTGTACGGAGTAGTGATTTACAGAAAATCTATTTTTAGATATTGTTAACGATTATCTAATTAGATTGTTGATGACATTAGCTGCTTAAACTAAATAACGGCTAAGACAACCCACGAAGTTATACTTCCTATGATTTTAATAATTGCAACACGTCTTTCCAGCATGCAATTGAGGAGCGAAGGTAGATGATCAAAGTGTTTGAAATAATTAAAATAGTAACAACTTAACCCCTTCATCTCATCGGCGGTTAGATTATTAATTAAAAAAAAAAATTGTTTGTTTACCTTCTCTATTATCTTTAAATAACTTGCTTAAAAAGGTGTGTTTTAAGTAAATAGAAACAAATGAAATTACTTTTTTAGGATAGATGTCTCTTTATGATGGTGGGTTTTATCAGGCTGGCCGCAAAGGATTCTTGATTAAGGGGAGACAAGATAATTTTTACTTAAAATGCGTTTGTGGTGGTGCGAGGCAAGAGGAATATTGAGGTGCTGTTTTTCTGAGGGAATCCTAATAGAATCTCACAAGTGCACCACTATTTTTATTACTCCATAAAATCACAGAGGTAGGATTAGGCTAAAAAGTGGAGGTAGGTCATTATATCCCTCACCTTAGAACAAGGTCACTCTTTGGTATTCTGCTAAAATTAGTTCAGCACAAGAACTGGGGGCGGTTGTAGAGTGCGTAGAGCTTCGATGGTGGTGGCGAGCTATAACATCAACAATAGAAAACGTGAGAGATGTAGCCATGTAGATAGTTGAAGGAGAAGATCAGACATTTTATACCTGAAATGGGACAATTGTGAAATTGTCTTCCAGCAACATCATATCAACGCCACTAATAGTGGCGCTCTCATGATAATTTTTGGGCGATAGCCACTCAGGCTGCAGTCATGACGGGGAAAATTACAGGGTAAATGTTGAAGATTTTAGGACATGACCATACACAGCAATATACGAGTATCGTACATGATTTTGCAATGATCATGACAGTGATATTTTTAGACGAGTTAACTCCTATATGCACAATTTCTACTAATTTGCGCAAATTTTTATACACACCTGGGTGTACCAATAAATATTGATTGAAGTTGTGTTATTCGGAAAAAGAAACATAATAGACAAGTCAAGGCATCGAGCAAAATATGGGCAATAAGGAAAGAATCAAGAGTGAATAATTTAATTCACTTTGCCAAGAATTTAAAGTCTCCAATATTTAAAAAAAAAATAAAGCAAATTACACTTGCAAGGCTATACCCATTCTTCCCATGGAGAAACACATTGCTTTCTCGCTTTTATCACTTATGTACAAAAAACACCCAACAAAAATTTACCCGATTAACGAAAAAAAAAAACCAAAAAAAAAGTCCAAATACCACCTATACCCTTCCCACCCAAAATTTTCTTCAAAACTATCTTTCTCCCATTATTATTAGTCATTTACAAAATTACCTTCCTCTCCCTATCCTCGCCCCGGCTTTCTAAACAAAGCTAAAATCTAGAGGATTAAATTTTTAAAAAATAAGGTAGAATATGTAGATTATATTTTGGAACGAGCAATCTCAAAATTTTACTAAGATTGCAAATTACCTAGGACTTGGACGCCCAGAGAGTGATCGAGGAGGCCTCACAGGAGGAGAAGGCGGCATGTTAGGAATCACCATTGTCTGGGAGCGAGAGATCATATCAGCCATGAATGAGGTTTGGTAAGCTTGAGAAAGATTGGTGCTGCTTGTAGAATCGACTCTTACGGTTGCCCTCTGCCACGAATGTGAACTCAGTCCAGACAAAACATATGCCCTTCCAGATGCCTCGTACACCTGGCGTGTAGACATCCTCTCCTTCATCTCCTTTAGTTCATTTAAAAGTCCCACACACAAGGGGTCTTTTGCTGATACACTTTCTGACAATGTTTGCCGACAGCTCTCGAGGATACACACTGCACCGGCCAAATCACTATTTTCAGCAGCAGATCTAGCCTCCGACATAGCATCTGCTGCTTTTAGCCTGTTACGCTGCTTATCCACCTCCATGGAAACCTCTACATGCTCTGCTCTCTCTGATCTACTGATCTTGACACCTTCAACTTCATCTATATGTGTCATCTCTTTTGTGATTGGGTCCTTATAAGTGCAGCTAACTTTCAGCAATGGCATCTCACTTACAGATGCCTGAGGAATATTCATAGTCACAAGAAAATCCCTTTCTTCTTCAGCATACAAATCTCCAACATTTATGTAACCTGTTCTTGCACCATCCAGCAGTCGAGTGTGGTAGCTTCCAGCTTTGATTGACCCAAGCTTCAAATTAGGGTATACACAGTTAAGTTTCAATTCTAGCTCTTGTACAACCACACTCAGCAAACCTCCCATGCACTGGGCAAAAGCATCTTGAATCACACACTCAGTCTCTATAAAGGAGAATGTGCCTCCAGAACCCTCGGAGATGGAATGCATTGAAACAGAATCATGATCTGAACCAAACCCAAACGTATGCACTGGTATCTGAAAGCTGGTTCCTGAATTCTGTTGGATAAAATTTGGAAGGAGCGACTTGTAGTCTGTCCTAGATTGTGCACCAGCAGGAGCATTGACCGTATATGTATCCTGCCCATCAGATAAAAGGATCATACTGCTAACCGGGTTTTTACACTTCCGCTCTAACATAACCTTAGCACCCTTCTTGAGACCTTCAGCAATATTAGTTCCACCATTAGAAGAAAGGGAATTGACTGCTTGGAGAGCCTGATTTCTACCACTGTCAGTCATCCTTTTAAGGGGAAAAAGACGCCGGGCTGAAGAGGAAAATACTATAACTGAGAGCCTATCATGAGGACCAAGGTGATGTATCACAAATCCCATGGCACGTTTAAGTAATGCAAGCTTGGTACCTGCCATGCTGCCACTCACATCCAGTACAGTAACCAGATCAACTGAAGCACGAGAATTTTGAGATGGCAAGCTGGCACCGTAATAGCTTATTTCAGCAACAGGAGCCTTCAGATGTATCAAAACTGAGAAATTATCATAAGATGCTAACTTAGCAATGGAAGAAACTTCAGGACATGTCTTAATCTCTACCCTTCTCATAGAGCTGTCATCAGAAGCATTATGAGCAAATTGTTCCCTAAATGTATGTTGTTCATCTATGAGGTCATCATCATCAAACATAGCAGGTTCAGAAACCCGGTACGTGGGGGAGATGTTCTGATTAAAATCTGGTTGAGGAAGGTGAAGCTGCTGCAGAGCAGCTACCACTGGATAGTCTCTGTTCCCATTGATTGAGTTGGCTCTCAGCTTCCCATGGAGAGCTTCAGAAGTCTGACCTTGGGAAGGAATTTCTGTCCACTTTGCTCTGCAGATTGGGCAAATGTGATTGCCATGCTTCACATTAGAAGTGATGCAGTTAAAGTGAAATGAGTGTGAGCACTCAGCGGTAAAAATAGCATGGCCCTGGCCTGGGATCACAGTGCTCAGGCATATTGCACAGGTCTTCTGCAGTAATGAAACAGTAAAAGTTAAGAAGAAAACTTCTAGATAGAAGCTTAAATAATCTTGGGCAAAGATTCCCAAAAAAAAAAAAAATACAGTAAAGGGAGGAGAAAAATCTATAAAAAGGATAAAACCAGTAAAACATTGTGAGTACTATATTTCTACCCAGCTTATGTCTTTATATTATGATTAATTGAATTCAATCATTTCTGTTGCAAGATATGGGAAGACATGTAAAAGTTTTAAAAATAACAAACAAACAAAAATGGTGCTTACATCTATGACACCCTCATTCAATATACCCAAGAATTCCCAGTGGAGTATCTATGCAATCTAAATGTAATCTAGAAGACCTGCGTTATCACTTCAACCCCACAGATTTTCACCAGAATATAAAAAACTCTTACAGTCTTACTTACACAGCTGAGGCCAGACATCATTGTTTCACCTTTTCAAATTCTATTCATAGCAAAAGCATTGGCAAAATTATCAATTATTAGACAACACGTTTCCATACAAAGGCCTAAGAGCAAGAAACACGCACCTAAGTAATTCCTGCAAGCTTTAAATAATTTTGACATCCAAGTATTAAAATTTAAAAGCATTAAGGCCACTGATTACTTCATAAGCATGTTCCAGTCATCTAGGACTCCCATTTCATAACGTAATGTCAAGATTACCCAAAGACAGATGACTATAATAATTGGAGCCATTAACATTCATTTGAGATTGAACATCAGTTCTTCAGCTTCTTCCCAATTTGGCCGCAGCATCATTTAGTCACTTATTTCTAGCTATACAATGAAAGATAATCTATTCCACTTACAGTAACTCTGAAGAAGAAAAATAAAAGACATAAATGCATAAAACCCTGGAATGGAGAATACAAATTGCGCTTGGTTAATATATATCACAGCCAGGTGACATTTGGGGTCAGTATATCCCACAAAAATTAGAACT